ATGCCCGATAGCTGGTCCTCTTCGATCCCTTTGTCCCCCGACTCCATTGGTTCTCCTGATGGCCATGGATCCCAACCATCCAACCCAATGCAGTCACCTGCACACCATATCCAGCCATCTTCCATTCCTAGCCTTCCACGCCTTCGAAACTCTGAATGCCACGCCCGTTTCTTCCTAGTGCACGGCCCACAACATTGCCTCGCCTTTTGTGCCTTTGTTTTGCGTCGTCTTTTGGTCCGACGCTTCTTAACCTTCAACTTAGCCCGTGGACCACATCCCCTCGGCTAGTCTCTCTTGCATGATGGTCGATATATCGGGCTTGATGGCTCTTCCAGCCTGTTTTCCAACCATATGTCAAGACCATCGTCACCTTCCTCGTCGGACTCGCCTGGGTTGATGACCACTTCCGTATCACCCGTGTCCTCAGCCCACTTTCAGCGCGCCTCATGGCCCATTTTCTCGGCCCAAAGCTTGTTTTATCGGCCCAACACGTGATTTCTTGGCACAATGTGATTCAGCCGTGGCCCAGCGTCCCTCCTGCGGCCCAGAATGGTACAAAAGCCCTATTTTCTACCCAGAATTAATTCGGGATGATAATAAACAAACGAGAAGGTAATTTTGGATAGCATTCTCATGATGAAGGTATGTAGTGGATTTAAATTTTGACTTTGAGGATTTTTAAATTGGTAATAATCGTGGATAAATTTATGATTTGCCCGTGGAAATATTGGTTAGCTCGTGAAGATATTATTTGTGGAGAATATGTGATATATTCGTGGAGACTAATTGGTTCATTCGTGGAGGCATTATTTGATTTATGCATGGAGGATTATTTGATTTGCTCGAGCGATGATTGGATTTATTTGGTCGATGATTATTTGATTTGTTTGAAGAATATATTTGATTTATGCATGGAGGATTATTTTATTAGTTGGAGCGATGATGGGATTTATTTAGTCGATGATTATTTGATTTGTTTGAAGAATATATTTGATTTATGCATGGAGGATTATTTGATTTGCTCGAGCGATGATTGGATTTATTTGGTCAATGATTATTTGATTTATTGGTGGATATATTCGATTTGTTCAAGGAGAATTATTGGATTTACTTGGGGAGCATTACTTGATTTGGTCGAGGAAATATTACTTGGTTTATTCGTGGATAAATTATATGATTTTCTCATGGAGGTATTTGATTTTTTCGCGGAATTATTTGACTTGGAATGTATTTAATTTATTCGAGGAGGTGCTATTTGATTTATTTATGGATGTATTTGATTTATTCGAGGAGGTGCTATTTGATTTATTTGTGGATGTATTTGATTATTCGAGGAGGTGCTATTTGATTTATTTGTGGAGATATTTGATTTATTCGAGGAGGTGCTATTTGATTTATTTGTGGAGGTATTTCATTCATTCGAGGAGAGATTACTCGACTTATTCGTGACCATATTTGAATTTTTGTGGAGGAAACGACAAAATAACCCAAGTCTAGACAAGCTATGGCGGACGAGCCGTTGAGTGTCGAGGACAAAAAAGAACGAGCAAGGATGATGTCGATCGCCGGTGGCAAAATCAAAGGCAAAAATCATTCTCTTTTGGAGAGGTAAGACGATTTGGAGTGGTATTCTCGACCTTCAGGTACAAAACTATCCTCAACTCTTGTTCGGTGGTCGTCTGTGATCGACACGTGGTTTATGGATGCATTGAGTCCTTTAGCACTATTTTTTAATGATGTTCATTGTCTGAGTACTTGGGGCGAATTGTTGAGGAGATTGTGATGCATATGGACATGGTTGGGATGATTATTTGGATGACTAACAAAATGATCGGGTGTTATTATATCTTGTTGTGTTCGATGTTTTCCTTTTCG